TAACTTAAGCTAAAAAATTGGGTTCTGGAAATTTAATATTTTAAGAAACTCAGAAAGTCTTATTCTTTAAAGGTGATAAATTACTTCTGGACAAAAAAACCTGTCCAGACTGCTTTATATTTCCTCTTCAGAAAGCATGCTGTTCCATTACCAAGTAAAATGATATTTATCTGTCAAATAAATGAAAGTGAAAGCAAGTATTCTATGTCCATACTTGTCAACCCCTTGTAATAAAAGGAACTTCACATTTTACAAGGCATGCACGTCATTTTGTGGGTTATTTGCTTCGAGAATCTTTCTTCCATGAAGAATAGTCCTTCTGCTCACAGCTATAGTACGTATAAATGCTCACAAAAAGAAGTTGGTTCCTGTGTTCTAATTCCCAGATGTAGTTCCTAAAAGGAAGAGGCAGCACATATGCAAAGCATTCAATTGTGCTATAGGCAAGCACTTACAGGCAGGTCTAAAGTTTTCTTATGGGTATTTCTATTGAAATTCCAACGTGGCTGAAGATGAAAACATCCTTCATTTAAACACGAAGTTCACTGAGAAACTGGTGCCTAAAGCAGTAAGAGTTCCAACAGATTATATGGAGAAGGAAGAATTCTCTTTCTCAACACATCCCCTAAACACTGAGAGAATGCTGGTTTACTCTTAGAACCAAGCCTGCTGATAAATTCCACGGGAAACTATTTTTTTTTTTTGCTATATAGATACCACCAGACTTCATTTCTTGATCGACAGTCAAAAGCACAACAAACCAAAATCAGCAGCACCATGAAATACTGACTTGAAAAAACGGAGGTATTTGAGGAATTTTGCAGTCTATTTCATTTAAAAAGAAAAATGTCAAGCTACCTTTCATTCACAGGCTTATCAGATATGATTGAGGTGGTGTACAAACAAAACCAAGTAGTAAAATTAAAACTAGTAAATTTTAAAAATGGTCAGAAAGAACAAAGTCCCTGATTTGTAACTTGGAAGTGATCAAAACAGAAATCCCTTTCCTGAGACTACATCCGAGCGAGAATGTTCTAGCTACGTGGTTTTAACTCAACCCACAGTGGCATTTCAGATGTTTGTGATGGAAATCTCCCTAAGGCTAGCAACATGAGCTGTTTGGCTTCGGACTGAATGCACCTGAACATAGTGTTCTAGTTTCGGGCCAGCCAGGTCAGAGTAATATTTAGTGAAATCCATCAGCCATTAAAACGCAGTACTCTTAGCAACAGCTTTGCCAAGTGAATTAGTGTCAAATAAATAGAGAAGTAGTTGTCTAAGTATTTTAATCTGCTCCAAGGGCCTTTTATGGTCAAGCATATGGAGACAGGATCATTCAGGCACAGAAAAACAAATACGACTTGTGATAGGCCCTTAAAAAGTGACTTTCTGCTACTTTCTAAATAAGTTACTTCGGACGATTCAGACAAATATAACCCACCTTTTTGGTGGGGGAGTATTAAGTCACTTGCCTTTACAGGCTCAAATCCCTCCCAACAGAAAAAAATTACTTTCATATGAGGTGCTTTAGCTCAACAGGAACTCTGAACAGCTTTGGAGCAACCACATTCTTGAGGGCTTGCTCCCCACACAATTACCTGAATTATGAGAAAACCCAAAAACTCTAGCACATCTCAAGAAGCATCAAAAGTGACAGATTAATTGATGATCTATGAACAAGAGATACTGGTTACGAAAATTCCTTTGCCAAGGAGATGTGGACATACAAGGAAGGTCTTAGAAAAAGAGGAAACTAATGAGCAAGAGAAAAGGGAACAGACTTTGAAGTCCCTGCTAAGAAGGCATTTATATAATTATAGTGGACAGCAAGCACACGCTGCTGCTCACAATTACCATTTCAACACAGAAAATCTGAGGGGAGTAGGAATTCTTGTAATTCCTTTGTGTAACTTCCCCAATTTCAGCTGTTCTAACTGCAACATATGGACAGTTCCTCTTCAAACCACTCTAGAAGGGTGAGGTTTGTTTGTTTTAGTTTTTCTTTTTTGGGGGGGCAGCCGTTTGGGGTTTTTTAATTAACTCAGGCAGAACACGTAAACCATTTCCTTCAAGAGTTTCAGCTTCAGTAAGAATGCTGTTGCACAGCCATAACTTTCAGGATGACAACACAGGGCACACAAAAATGTAAATCTTCAAGCAGGCTTATCAATGGGAAGATGAATTTGTGCTGAAACAATGTCCTAAGCAACTTAAATCCAAATTGTCCATGTAAGTGGTTATATCTTTTAAGCAATCCAGGCAGTGTCAAGTATGTAGGAGACCCCTTGACATTAAAACAATGTCATAAACATTTAGTAACTACTATACATTACCAGAACATATATTTCTAACAAAATAAGGGACAGACATCTACCACAACGATTAGAACTGAACTTCTAGTTCAGTGATGATAGTTATAGAGATCTTCAGGTAAAACCCCAAGTAAGACAAACTCTCAAGCCTGTAGTTCAAGATTCTGATCACAAGCTCTTATAGGAAACTTTCAATTTCCTGACGGAGAGCACTCAGATTCTAACACAAGGCAAAAAAATAGTTCAACAGCTTAAAAATACATCACTTTTAGAGTGCAGAGATATCTCACCAAAAATGTTTTAAGTAACCACTCATCTTTGATTCTATTTTTCCTCGCATGTGTCTGAAAACATGACAGAAATCAAGCAGTTTATGCTGGAATTTAATCCCAAATGTTGCAGCATGTTATTATCATTATTTACATACTGGTGTTGCAACAGGGAAATACTGCATTTCATATTATTGGAAGAGGAAAAAATCAATTCAGAAGGCGCAAGGAGGGACACACACTAGAAACACAAGTTACTCAGCTGGAATTCTCCAAAGCACTTGAACAGTTGATCTTCGAAGGAGACTATCAAGATTACAGGATAAAGCCAGCATAGCCCTGGCCCAAGGGGTTTTACGTAAAACAGCTTCTACTAATGCTTTTCTTAACCAACAAGCCAGAGCCACACATTAGAAAAAATAGACATTATGCCAACAAGAAAATACAGGGGAACATACATGATCTGTAGAGACAACTGCTTTCACAACACTCCATTTACTTTGTAAGTATTATTGCAACAAAAGCGGAAAGGATGCAAGAGAAATTAATTGACATATGTCATATTTAAGGCACTTCAACCTCTCATCAGTGTGGGATTAAGATCTCTATGCTTATTAAAGCACTTATTTATGTTACAGTAGTGCCCAGAGGCCCCAACCGAGACTGAGGCCTCTTGAGTGGAGCATTAGGAAATCATTATCATATTGAGTCAAAGAATTCCCTTTCAAATTATTATTTAAAAAAAACCTATATTCTTTTGTTTAAGTCAATTACTACCTCTATAAGCTTCACCACAGTTTTTGCTGTTTAGCTCATCTTTATTTTTAACATCAGAAAGAATTAAAGGCATACTGCATATTTTTGAACAGAAAGCCAGAATAAGCCCAGCTCTGAAGCACATAGGCCCTAAACTTCTCCCTGCCTTTCAGGCCATTGGGTCTAGACACACAGATGTTCCTTCATTTATCAGTATCTGTGGAAAGAGGTTTGTGTAACTAGATTGCTGTCTCTTCACCCTCTACAGAACACAGCCCAAACCAAACCTTAGCAGGTCTGTGGGAATTCAGAATCCAACTAACAAAATGATCTGGGACAAATTAGTAGCCTCTCAAAATTCTCACCAAGATCAAACTACTGAGTGTTAAAGTTCACATGGAACAGGCAGAACCTGCATAAACTTCTTAGAGGCATTACTGAAACTGACGGTTCAATAAGGTGAGTTCCCAAATAATTGTGCATACAAATATTAGTACAATCTGCTGTTGTAAAAAAATCAATGCCTTTTTCAAATTTTTTGTCACAAATATTTTTTCCAAGCTTCAATAGCTGTACTGTCATAACCTGCATGATTAACTTTTGGTTTATACTAACTGGCCCACTGAGACTATTTGTTGTATTTTACTTCTAAGACCCACTGGATGAAAGCCAGCAAGACCCTCTCCAGAGAGTCTAAAAAAAAATTAAATTATAAATTATTAAAAAATCATTAGGTAACCATTAGTACCAAACAAAACAGAAACATCTCTCAGATTACTCTGTGTAAGTCAGTAAAGCCAGTTAGTCAGATGTTGCATTTTCATCTGTTATGAGATAAAGCACATAGACTTATGATCAAGTAGTCAACAATCCAGTGCACGTTGGCACAGCAGCCACAAGCCTGCTGGGCATCAGAAGTAATCTACCTGGCAAGGACACTGCTACTGCACCCTGCACTGGCACTGGGCAGCCAGCACCCACCACAGCTCTGGTGGCACACTGTAAAGGCATAAACTGGATTGTAAAAACACTAGCTGAACTTTTCTTCAGTGTGCTTAGTTCAGTGACAGCTCAGTAGAAGTTACCAATATGTCATAATTTCTCTACACTCAATCACCTGCCCAACCAGTTTTTCCCTGACCTGTCTTACGTGTATTTTACAAAAACTTTTAGTCTGTTGCAGTGCAATCCTATTTAAATGGCTCCTTAATTTCCACAGTTTAACACTAGAGTTGAATAATCTGTTCCAACAAATCATCTCTGGAATTCATATCCTCTTAAATGTTTAATGAAGAACAGATTTTCGGTGAGATTCCCAATTTCCTTGTCTCAGGGAAGGATCTTACCAGACTGCAAAGCTTCACTTTTCATTCTTTTGAAGAGGAAACTACTCCACTGGAGGTACAAGACCTCAGGTTCTACCTTCACTCAAGAAAACCAGAAAATCTAAAGCACAGTACAGCAAATTCTAGTGTTCTTCTAGAATTAACAGCATGCCCACTACAGAAATGAATATTTTACAAAATAAAGAAAAAACACTTTGAATTTTCCTTTTACAAGTCACCTGATTTATTACATACCTCAGAACTGTTTGTTAGGATCTACAAGCAAATTTCACAACTGGTAATGAATCTGAAAAAGTAAACTTAAACAAGTTACTTACTGTAAGTTTGCTACTTTTACTGATACAGGAATGTGGGGAAGTTGAGTGGCCCATTTCAGTGTAACATCTTGATAAACATTCAGAATTTTACTGTGGTTTCCAACTAGAGTGTTTATTGTTCCTTCTTTCACTGTAAAAGATATAAAACCAGTTTTAGGACAAAAGATTTTCAAAAGCCAGTACTTTTCTTTGAGGCTTATATCATTACACTATTTTTTCTTCTCCTTTTAAGCCATTACTTGTTATAAATGAATTTAGTATAATTGAAGTGTCAGAAGTTATGAAAGTTACCTTGACAATAACCAAGGATGTATGTGATTAATTATGGATACTAATTTCAATTGCATACTACACAGCACATGACAACTTTCCAAGGTTGTAGCCAGCCATGTTTGGTAATTTAAAACATGACTAACGAAGACTCATAATTGTCATGTCAGCATGCCAGGACAGGCATGACAAAATACACATTAGTTCAATATCAGCTACTTAAACTCTTCATTAATTCATTGACCTGTGAATACTGATTAAAGGTATATGCATTTATAGGTTTTATATATAGTATAACTTTAATCAGAAAGTATAAAATGTGAAGATTGTTAAGATCATATTTATAAAGTCTAAAATTATATTTTAAGTCTAAAATAAGACATGGTGTCAAAAATGTATCAGATAGGTTTTGAAACATTAATATAGACTAGGTATTAAGAACCTGTGGTTCTGTAGTGGCAACCAAGGTGCTTGTATGCAATGTAATAAGTTAGTTTTATCTCCTAACACTAAGCTTTACTTGATTTTTTTTAACTATCAGTAAATGACAGAAGGTCCTCAAACACTAGTTTGCTCTTCCAAAACCTCTCATTCTTCCATGCTTGTTGCTTTGGTATCCTAGGCAAACTTACTCAAATGACAAACAAGTACCTTAATTTGGTGATGAAAAAAATATCTATTTAGATATTAAAAATTACTTCATACTAAGTAATGTTTGAAAATAAACCTGCTTCATAGACAAGTACCTTAATTTGATGATGAAAAAAATATTTAGATATTAAAAATTGCTTCACACTAAGTAATGTTTGAAAATAAACCTGCTTCATCCAAACAGAGAGCTCCTATTCCACAGATTTTCTACAAATCAACAACTTAATCAGAAAAATATATTTATTCTGTGGGGAAAGTCTTAGCTGTAAAAGTAACCAAGCTAAAGTTAAGTCAGATTTTCAATTTACAAACCTGAACAATAAGGAATGAAGCAACTCGGACTATAATCAAGCTTTTTCATGAATCGAATTTGCCCATTATCCTTAAGGCAAAAGAAGTTTCTCTCACCAAGCACAAAAATAGAAGAAACTGTCTGATTAAAGGAGACAACACATATATCCAGTGCTTGCTCTCCGATGTTTAAAACCCAATCCACCTTCAAAAGAAAAAAACATACTCCAGAGATCAGTTGACAGCTGCATATTAAAGACAACACCTACAGAGAAGGCTCAGAACTCATCAAGTTACATACCATTAACATAGATAGAAAAGCAAATTCAAGGTCATTTTTTGAACAAGAAAATATTAGTCATCTTATTTTGAAGGCAGTTGGTGACTTTGCTTATTGTGAGTAAAGCCACAAAAATATCATCCACTTTTTGAAATAGTCACGAATTGATGGCTACGCAGTTCACTTCAGAATATTTAAATTTTAATGTACACATCCCATGCAAAATGAAAACACTTTATATTTTAACTATTAAATCCAAGAACAGAGTACTAGAGTCATTTAAATCTGCCTCTGTACGTCCTTACATATTAAGGAAAATTTAGAGAGCAAAAGGTGATAAATTATTCTACCAATACATGTAAATGGAAAAATAGACAACGTTTTAGATGTGTAAGCCAATATTCATGCTTGCAGTCACTAATGTACACTCTTGAATCTGCAGAACGTTTGTGTATATGATAGCTTGTCTACTTTTCCAACTACATACATTGATATAATAAGCAATTACTTGCAAATGCCACATTGCCTATATCCTTACATCTTTAAACAATACTACTGCTTATTGAAACATTTCATTGGTTTGTTATTTCAGCTCCTCTGAGAAATTTTTACTAATTCACACATGCAGAAATTGCTTTTGACTGCTGCCAAGCTGGTTAAACAGAAATTCAGAATTTCTGAAGTCAAAAAATATCAAAGTACAACTCTCAGCATGTCCTATATGATCAACTTTTTTATGCTACATTACTTTTTTTTACATTCTATGTTTTGCTTAAAGAACATAGAATGTGTTAGTATACATACTGGCACATCTGATATATGAAACCAGATGTGTCATCTTAAAAGTCAAAGATAAAAAAGCCCGGCTTATTACATTCGTCTCCATGTATGCTTCTCATTTTAGATTTAAAAAAAGTTATTTAATTTGCAGCATATCTGATGGAGCTTCCAAATTTCTTACTTAAAAACTAGGTCTCCTCTTAATTCAAAATGTAGGATTCTGACTGACCAACAGTATGAAAAAATTCTACAGTTAGCCACTGGAAGGAAGATGCTCTCCCAGTATTTTACTGTCACACCTGAAATATGCTGAATCTAGCATTTTATTAGTATATTTAGCAGACAGCAATTCTACTGCAGGACCACAGAAAATGAAATTCTCTTCCTCTTAATAGGAAATATTAAACAACCTAATCACAGTAGCATCCTGAAGACCACTGAGCCCATCAAGTTTTGACAAAAAGAGTTCAGGGGACAGACTATTTAAGGAAAAATTTTAAATTTTTCACTGCTGAGTTCTCTAAGTACAAAGGATTCCCCAAGTAGAATGAGGTTAATTTTTTAAGTCCAATACAGAGTCACAAATAGACTTAAATTAAAACATGAGCAATATTTCAGGTGTACCTGTTTATCTATTTTACTGCTGAGACTTATAAAGACTGCCTTTAGTTATTAAATATCAGGAATAAAAATCAGAAAGAGTTACTTCCAGTTCACAGTTCTCTTTTTCCTCTGTAGAGCAACAGTGAGTTTTAAGCCCCAACCTTGAACAACTGAGGCCCAAAGAAGTCTCAGCAGAAATCTACTGGAGTCTTTCCATTGTCTTTAGTGGCAATTGGATCAGGTCCTTTGTCAGCAGACAATGTTCCCATTTGTTCCTTAGCCTTGGTGTTTTAACATGTATGCAGTGTACCGTATCAGTTATGTAAAATAAACAGGTTTTACCGCAAGCCTTTTTCCAGAACTAAGTTTTTGCTGTTCTGTTTCTTGTCTTTCATCTGCATCTGTCGCAAATGCCAGCACTTGGTATCTATTATAGGAAGTTTAAAAAAGTAAGAAAATAAAATACATCTTTGTAGTCAATACCCTTACATTAAGTAAAAAATAAAATATAATTAGCATATTATAACTGTACATACACAGGAAAAGCACAGTCTGAAAGGATTGTTAAAAAGCCTACTGCAACACATCTATCATCAGCAAAGGTGTTAAGTAAATATCACTGTAGGATAACAGGTAAGTATAAAGGCAGAAAGTAAACCAAACATTTCTACTCAGACTTTATCTGATGTTAAAATAAACTCAACAGTTAAACATATTAGAGGATAGAAATCTAGATCACAAAGACAACAGAGCCAAAAAACCAACATATTTTCAAATTGTGAAATTAGGATTCTAAATAAAAAAATAAACTTTTTTGCTCTTACTATGCTTTTAAAAAACCCTCCTAAATTACCCTGAAATACAATTTGCCATATCTAACAGTTACACTCTCAAGTACATCTGTCCAATACAAGAGAACAGAAAACTGGCACCAGCAGGTGGCACATCTAGCAAAAGATGGGAGGTTTGTGGGTTTGGGTTTTTCTATTATTTTGTAACTGCCAACCAACCATATTAAGAAAAAATGGGCAATGAAGATACTGGAACAAAACATGTCAATTGCCATAAAAGCTCCACACATCTATCTGTCCTTATTCACACCTATGCAATCCTCTATGTTCAAACTGTGTCCTCATCGACTCTTCGGCAACTATTTTTTTCCTGAATTTGTGCTAGTGTGCTAACTTGCTGGTCCACCCTGTGTGCAATGTACACAACACATCAGATAATCGGTAAAATAATGAAGTTTACCAAAAAAGTGAAATAAACAACAACAACTTCTCTAAAAGACAGCATTCAATTCTGGAATTCATGGAGCGCCATCAGCTCCTGAGCACAAACCAACACAATTCTGAATGTTCCAACTCCAGTCTCAACCAGAAGTGCATATTTTTGCATATTGTCAGAGTTACAGATTTAATACAATGACACCAGCAGCTCTCACATTGCAGATGCACGTGTTGTGGTGCTCGCTACTGAAGGATTTTACTAGACCTACTTAAAAATACTGAATAAGCTGCTTTTAGTACAATTGCCATGTCTTTAAGCGTCCTCTAAAGGAATAAATTCACTTCTCTTCTTCAGTTTAACACATTTATGAGAGAAGTTGCAGATTCTGACCTAATAAGATTTTTCTTTTGACCATGTTTTATTGATAGTCTCAGCTAGCACATTATAATTTTATTAACTAATCAGGGACTAATACAGAGTTTTCAAACATAAGTCTCATTGAACAGCAAGATGGATTGATGTTTAAGAACCAACTATGTGCATACAAGTTTTTCATCACAAAAAACTCAAGCCACATGTGATCAACACAAACTTTCAATTCAGCTGTCACATCAAGTATACAATCATTTAAATTAGAGACATTTTGCTTTTAGGTTTGGAAAGAATCTGGAATCAACACACAGGGAGTATGACCTTCAAATGAAGGCATTGGTCTAAGAGCTATAGAAGGATGGAGAATTTGAAATTTGGAAACTTGTTCTGCTAAAAAAGACCAGATAGAACTACTGTATCTTTCATTTACCATAATAGAAGACACCATGTTTAATACAACCATAAAAATAACCTCTTATCTCCTTACGATGTCCATTTCCTTCAATTTAGAAGGATTACTTAACTCTATTCTCATGTCCTAATAGTTCAGATACACAATTAGTACCACATCATCTTAACACTTGGCACTGAAGACCAATAACCAGAATCCAAGTGAAGAATTCCTTTAACACTACACCTTCCTACTCGCAAATCAGTGACAGACTGGAGGAAAAATTTTAGCCACATTTGTTGTAAAAGTCAAGAATCTAAACATAATGAAAACACATGAGACTCATTTTAAAGAAAAAATACTTATTTATTCCTTACCAGTATTAATAAACTCTATTCTAATTTATTTCTTAAGAAAAATATTAATTTTCTATTAAATTAATTTTACTTGCAACACATATATCTTCTTCTGCATTAAGAAAACAATACACGATGTCTATAATCTTTTCATGCAATATCCAGAATCTAAAAACCATCTGATGAAGCTTAAGTAGCATAATAAAGAGAGCACTGCTTGAGAAATTCAGGTGATAGAGCAGGGTAGTGTGACAAAGCATCGTGTTAGATCTGGGATTAGATTCCCAAGGTATAACCTATAAAAAGTGGCATTCTTAGTTTCTTTGATATGATAAGCTCTGAAAAAATCCTTAAGGTACTTGTTAGCCCATTCCTCCACCTTGATGAGATTCCTCTGAACAGCAGCCCTGCCCTCTTCATATCAGCCAGTTCCTACAAATTTGGCATTCAGGACACGCATTTTGTCCTGTTATCCAGGGTGATGTTAAAGAAACACTGGCTCCAGTATCAGCTCCTGAGGAACATTACTCATCTTTGGCTGCTAGTTAGAACTGTGGACAACCACTACTCTGTAAGCCTGACAGCTCTGCCACCCTTTTCATCCATTAGTTTGGGGGTTTATCATGGGTAATAGCTCTGCCCCAAAGACCATGCCACCCCAATTTACTGCTAGGCACAGAGATTCAAAAAGCCCAAGAGCAGACCTTGTCAGTTTTAATGGAGAAATGATGAGGCAAAGCAAGCATTAAGTTCCTTGGTCTTTTCACACCTTTGCTGAAGTTGCCCAATCTGTTCAGCGGTGGGTCAATCTTCTCGATCTACATCCAAGGTATCTGTGGAAGTCTTTATTTTTCAGACCCTCTGCCAGTAAAAGTTTTAACAAAGCTTATATCTTCTCAATCCCATTCCCTGCATGCCCATATGATGTTTTATATTCCTCCTTAGTAGTCCATTTTAACTTCCATCTCATACATTTCCTTTTTTCCATTTGATCTCAGTCAGGAGCTACCTGCCCAGGCAAGCTGCCTTCTGCTACTTCTTACTTTCTTGAACATCAAAATTGTTTGGTCTTGGTCTTTGGAAAGATTATCCATGAAGACTCACCAGGTCTTCTGAGCCCATCTACCCTTCTGCACAGCCTCTCACAGGATCCTGCCTACCAGTTCCTTGAACAAGCCCAAGTTTGTTCTCTTGAAATCTACCGTCTTTAGTCCACTGCCTAACTTCCTCACTTCTGTCATGGTCACTGCAGCCAATGTCTGTAACGCTCAATGGTAGATGCTGACAATTACTTCTCCAAACATTTCTTTATTCTTTCTGAATTATGGATTCAGCAAAGCATCTTCCCTAGTCAGGCTGTCTAGCAACTGCATCAAAGTTTTCCCTAATGCCCCTCAGAAACCTCTCACATTGCTATGTTGCCCTCCCAGTAGACATGAGTACTCCACAAGAACAAGAGCCTGCAATTGGGAAACTTCTTGTTTAAAAAGGCTTCATAGCAGACATCCACCACAACATCCCCTTCTACAAGCATCCATCTGTTTCTGATCAGGTGGATGTTTGATAAACTATCAACATGGGGTTCCATAAGAGAGCCTGTGATCTTTTATATTCCATAAAATTATTCAAGCTGCTCCTCCATGGGGAGCACAAATCCTCCTTTGTCTATCTTTTCTTCCTGAAGAGCCTGGAGTCATCAATTACAGCTCCTTAGTCATGCAAGCTACCCTGTCACATCTCTAGCTGCACACGCAACTCCTAGCTCCTCCTCTTTGTTGTAAATACACACTTAATGAGCCCTCACTCATCCCACTTCCTCCATTATGGAAGCATCCATAATGCTTCCATAACCATAATCATAGCATCTTCCTGCTATTATGAAAGCATCCACCTTTGTGCACTTGGCCCTTATACCCTATACCATCACTTAGATGCTGGATTTAGCACCTAGCAGTCAAGAAGGTTAACAAGCCTCCTCTGCCACTTTGTCAGGTAGATTCCATCTCTCCCCACTAGCCCTCATTCCTTTGAAAGGATCCTATGATCACAAAAGCCAAAGTCATGTCTCAAACCCGTTCTGAAAACTGAACAGATTCATCAGACTAACACCTATTTGCATCAAAATAAAAATCCTGTTGAAACAACTGGAAGGAACATCTTGCTCAAGCAGTATAGAGCAGACAACACTGAAAGCACAGATTAGACTGAACTGAAGCAGGAAAAAACCTGGCACATGCAGGACAACATGATGTTGCTTGATAAGCTATTAAGCTTAACACATTTATACAAATAAAATAGGACTAGAAAGTCCTCAGGACACACAGTATGCTTTCTTCTGTGACTATACAGAGATAGTAATCACTCAACAACATTGAATCATTTAGGTTGGAGAAGACCTTTAAGATCATCCAGTCCAACCATTAACCCAGCACTGCCAAGTCCACCACTAGACCATGTCCCTAAGTGCCATGTCTACACGTCTTTTAAATACCTTCAGGGATGGCGACTCAATCACTTCCCTGGGCAGCCTGTTCCAATGCTTGGCAACCCTTTTGGTGAAGAAATTTTTCCTAATATCCAATCTAAACCTTCCCTGGTGCAAATCGAGATCATTTCCTCTTGTCCTATTGCTTCTTACTTGGGAAAAAAGATGAACACCCGCCTTGCTACAACCTCCTTTCAGGTAGAGAGCAATAAGGTCTCCCCTGAGCCTCCTTTTCTCCAGGCTAAGCAACCCCAGTTCCCTCAGCTGCTCCTTGTAAGCCTTGGGCTCTAGACCCTTCATCGGTTTTGTTACTCTTTGGACATACTCCAGCACCTGTGTTTTTCTTGTAATGAACGGCCCAAAACTGGACACATACAAGACTAGTTTTCTTCTTTCCTGCAAGTATCTATCACCTGCTTTGGGATACAGTATTAGTAAAGGCCATAAAAATTGGACATTACTTTTAATTTGTTTACATACTAAACAATAGCACCAAAATATGCTATAACTACTGAATATGAACACATACTTGTAACTCTCGACCTGCCGACAAGAAGACACCGTAATGAAAGAATCTGTCCGAGAGCTGTAAGTCAAGGGACCAGGCAGAAGAAAACCAGGTAAAAAACGGCCAAAAGCATAGCTTTCCTGTTCAAACAACATGAGCATCCCATCCATGGACTGTATGCATATCAAATCTCGACCTAAGGAAAGCAAAAGAAAGAAATATAAAGGAAACAAAGCAATGTTTTAATCTTACAATTGTTAGTGAATTAAAGTTGTACTCATAAGTAATCCTACGAAATATAAGATTCACTTCAATTTACATGAGTTTTTACTATGAGGAAAAACACTAAGTATTCCAACTTCAATAAAAGTTTACTTACTAAACAAACCAGATTTATTGGGAATAACATTCGGAATATATTGAGAAAAAAAAGAGTTGGATATTTTATTTCAAACCAAAATTTCTTAAAATATAACTATTACAATTTTAAATTAAAGAAGTGTTTCAATACTTCCAACCTCCCAAATTATTCTGGTTCTTAAATGCATCTACATCTTACGAGCAGTCATGACAACTGTGGTTTAAGAATAATCTGTTCTACTCTTTCAAGTCTACTTAAGTAACATTAACACAGAGACCTACAAACACGTATTGTTGTGAAAATAATACAATGGTAACATTTTCCACACTTTCCATTCACGTTTTCTGTCTTCAAGGAAAGAAAAAACAAAACAGGCCCACTCAGTGTTACCAACAAGACTAGAAAAAATAATCAAATAAAAAAATTCAGCTTGGAGTAAATTACTTCAAGCCTCGTCCATTATTCAGTAGCTTCAAGACATGACTTAAGACGTGACTTGTCATGCCTCAAGCATACCAATCTAAATTCAAACTCTCATTGTGAAGACTTCTGAAATCAGAAGCTGATTATGCAGTTTACCTTTCACATGCAAGGGCAACGATTTAAACAAACAGCATTTTGCATGCATTCAAAGAGAGAGCTATACCAGTAAGACTAACACCTTCTGAAGTGGATACAAGTATCTTTCTTGAATTCAGAGACAAGCCCCTATCTTGCAAACACAACGTGAAATACTTGTAATTCAAAATATCTATTCACCATCATTAAAACACTGTTGTCTCAGGAATTATTCTATATCCCTGGAGAACCCAAACAATTTTTCTGTTCACTAAGCTCCATCCTCAATCCTTTAAGAGCTGTCTTCTAACACAGAAAGATGAAGCGAAACAAAAACAGACTAAAACTTCATTCCTACACTTATATAAAGGTAACAAAGGTCAAAGAGATACTCATTATCTGAAAAAAGCAACGAGTGTACAGTCCAAAGCATTATTCATCTCCACTGTGATTCTTCATAGAGACTACTTAAAAATAAATAGTAGTGTAATAGGTCAGCAGTACATCACACTACTTCTTGTGATTAAAATACACAATAAAAATTTAGCTTAGCTTAAGAACAGGAAAAAAAAAATCAAGGAAGGTCCTTTCCACTTGCCCTCCCTCATCCCTTTTTCAGATTTTCCCATTTTCTAAAACTCAAGTTCTCCCATTCTTCTTTCCAGATTCTGCACATAATTCACTGCACGTCCTATAAACCCTGTGACGAATATCAACCATTTGATAGGAAGGACATTTGAAAGTGCAATTCACGTTGTTCATTTGGTAGAGCCAAAGTTGAATCTCTCAGTCTCTAGTGAAAAAGTAAAAATACTTCAATCCTTCAACACCAATGATTATAGAGATAGAACTGTGAAGCAATTGCAATGGTGTAATTTCAGGAACACCGATGGCATTTCACGCACTTAATCACAACACCTGTTTCTTCCCTTATGTTCTACGTAGATCTTTTCTGAAAACCTTAAAGGTCATTCTCATGTAATGAGTTTTGTTGGGTTCACCTGTTTGAAAACTCCTAAAGTGCACACATTTTGAGGAATAACGTTAACTGACAGTATCGAACACTTAAATTTTGGTTTAGCAAGGTAGTAACAGCATTTCCAACTGACAAATTCATAAATTAAAATACAGAAAAGAATTTTATTCAACATTAGAAAAATCCCTTATTCTTCACTAAACACTAGAGAAGTACTCCATTAACCAAGAATCCTTGGTGGCTTTGGAAAGAAACTTAGCTGAGAAACAATGAAAACTCAGCTTCCTTCCTTTCCTCAGAAGGAAAAATGTCAGAAACTGTTCTAATAAACTAATGTGTTATACAAAAGCAATTCAATGTGGAAATCATTAAAGTACTGTTCAGAAGTAGTCAGACTGAGATTCTGTGTGATACCGAAGTCAAACCAATATATCTTTGGTTTTCTTCCACTACTGAAAGTAAGAAAATTTAAATATATCATCTTTATAGCAGCTCATTAACCAGTGACCACTTGTCACTAGCAACTTCAGTTTGATGATTTAAGTCTCAAAAGTTTAATCTGTAACATTCTAAAGTTTGTACCACTACACTGGAAACTTGAAACATTTTAAATGTTTCCTCTTCCATGTGCAGATTAAAGTCATACATCCTTCTATGAAATGTAAACTCTTTACCTCTGTAACAGAAAAAGTCAATAAAGAAATGCTTCCTGTGACTAAATGCAATCATTTTGGAGAGAATTATGGGTTTGACATAGATCTCCAAACACATTTTTTAAACAGACCAATTGTTTTAGAGCTATGATTTTCCTACAATTTTCTACGCAGACTTTTTAAATTATAAAGCAGGGTCTAGGGCTTCTGTTCAATCTTAGAATTTATTGTTTATAAGAATTAGAAACATATTCTACAGTATACAAACACATTAGACATGCATATATACACACGCCTCTTAAATGTACGTAACTAGTACGTTTCCTCTGAAACGATTTGTATAAAGCAGCTCTAGGAACTCTTTAAGAATCATTCACCCCCTTAAATACTCTTCACAGGACAGATTCCAGAATTGTTTGATTTATTCATAACTTGTAGCTGACATTCTGCACCTGAAATGTGGTATTCGAGAGGTTACAGTGGCTACTGATCACAGTCAGAATGAGCATTTGCTTTACTGCTTATACTGAGTCTCTGAAGCACTAACCACGAACACTGCAATGACTTTACTAACACAATTCAGAAATTAGTGAGGGTGATCTATAAATGAGTACCTTATACAGTTCAATTAAAAAATAAAGATGATGCATATGTGAATTTGAAAGTTATTTAATATTAAGGTTCCTACAATTCTGAATGTCCTGCTTTGCATCACTAACAGTTGATACTATCAACAGTGTAAATAAAAATAATCTATTCATAAAAGAATTGTAGCAACTATACAAGTTCCAAGAGTATCACCTGAAGCACCCTAAGGCTGTGAGCAGACAAATGAGTGAAACAATCTAATGCTTTGCTACTGCTAGCAGCAGCACTCTGGAGAGTACTTTTACTTGTACAAACACTAATAACTAGTAAAAGGTGCTAGCCCACTGGTTGCCACCACAGTCTGTTAGGTATAGCTACCTTAACGCATAGGTATCGGCTTCTAGAACTAACTAGTAGCATTTTCATTTGGATTGCAAGAAAATAGTGCTTCATAACCCAAGTGTCCATGCGACCATGGTTATTCTACACCTGTTTCCTCAAAATCACCGATGTTCACATTTGGCATTCAAAGGCACACTGAAAACACACCCAACACCTCACATGAGCTAACCATTCGGTTCCACTTCTATTTTACACCTTTAGCAACAATACAACCCTGTGAGTCTGGGTATGGAGAATCTTCAACTCCCCTTCCACAGTTTCCTATGAATTTTCCCATCGTTAGCAGTGTGCTACAGAAGAAATCTGCAGCTGTCGGCTCTGTTTCCACAACCTTAAATTTCAAGGTCTAGCTCCTATAGAACTCACCAGTACCTGAAACCTGAAGACAAAAAGATTACAGGTATCAGTTAGAAAAACTTTTTTTGAAGGCACAGTATTAGAACACATTTGTACTTTGTTTCTTAAGGCTTCTTATTTTTCATCTTTTCTTTCTTAGAAAGATACAAATTAAAAAAAAATAAAATTATGCATAAAATAATTTAAGTCACCAAAAAAATAACAGTAATAACATTCAAATTTTTGCCATGTTGCTATTCTACTGGTTTTTAAAGTTCTAAATATTGCTTGATATATCATAAGATTACAAGTAAAAGACACTCAACTGTAAAGTGAATTCCCTTACTAACACAGAAATCTTACACATTTTATAATAGAATCAAATTCCAGGTACTTCTGGTTATACTGACTGTAGTGAGAAAGCTATCTTTTAGACAGCTTCTGACCACAAACTTCAGGGTTTAAGCTTGTCTAAAACATACAATTCAGTTGTTAATTTCTATTCTTCAGGTACAACTGATATGCAGCAGTAATCGAGCAGACGTACTACAATTCAAGTAACAGAAAAAGTAAAGGTCAGCAAAGGTTTTGATGTGTTACTGCTTAAGTAACAAGTTGTAGTAGCTTCTGTTCTTATGTATATCATGAACATCAATGTTATTCTTACCTATTTCATTGCATCATGAAAAGGATGAATACAAAAACTATAGCACCTTCCGCAACGTATATGAAGCTACATGTGGTATCAGACATGGAAGCATTCATCTTGGACATTCCTAATCTCTAATCACACAGAAATATCATCCTTAAAGTATCTCCTGTTCTACCAGTAGTGATATGATTGGATATGACATGACATAAAATGACAAGTTCTTTAGAGCAGTTCAACAATCTCCAAGCACACTGCAGTACTGAACCATACTGTCTGAAGAAAAAAATATTTACCAGGCACCTAAGACTGAATCAGCAATACTCTTTTTGCCTTTGAGCACAGCATCACTTCTTCACCTACCCCTTTACTGATATTTGTGTTGTTCTTACTCACTAATTTTCAAATTTGGATTTTAACTAGCTTGTAGTAGTGGGTCAAACTCCAATTATCCAAACTATTACATGTAAAGCATAATTAAAAAGTAAATTGTGTACGAACTCTCACTTCCCAGCTTTTTATAGGTCATCTTATTTCTTTGGCCATTTGTTTTTAATGTGTAGCTAGTGAATGGAGTTTTTATGTTTCACTTTAAGAAATGCAGTCTTCCAAAAACTCAGCCAGAAACGTCCATTTCAAGGAAGCTTATTGCATCCAGTTGGCTTTGCCAGTG